AAAAAAAAAAAACAGTATCTGCAGTGTAGTGAGTACTCAAATATGCAAAGCTCTACAGGAACACTGGGGACTCAGCCATGAAAGCACTGATCCTTCATTTAAGGAACTCAGTCTAAGTGGGGGATAGAGGAAGAAGTCCAGAAAAAATAAATGTTTACCTCTTGCTAGGGTAACACCAAGGAGAATGACTAACTCTGCCCAAGTGTATCAGGGAGGACTTCAGGGAAGAGGCGATATTGGAGATGGGCCCTGAAGGATGAGTAGAGTTTATCAAGAAAAGAAAAAGAATACTTAGGTGGAGGGAACACTAAAGGCATGAAGTTAAGAAAAAGCACAGTGATGTGCGTGGAACATCAAGTAGAAAGCTGTTAAGAACAGGGCTCTCAAAGTTGATCAGGAATAAAATCACCCAGAAGTCCTGGTACATCTTAACACTGTGGAATATTACATTCAGTTTAATAAGTAAGTTCCATACTAAATCATGCACCTTCAAATATTAATTTCTAAAACAAATGAATGATAGCAGATAGCAAGGGCCAAAGAAGAAATGTACAGGAGGACAAACAAAATGAAAGAAAACTGATTTGTCTTTATCAGTAAACAGCTAGGTTAACTTCAAAGAATTAATGATCACCAGGTACAGTGCAAAGAACTCAGGGGTGAACAAGAGAGGCAGGATCACTGTTTTTATGGAGCTTCAGTCTGGTGAGAAAGTAAGATTACCATACTTACTTTTATGATGAGTGGGATGACAGTAATACAGGTTATTGGGAAAACTACAGCAGAGGGACTCAACCTGCTTAGGGAGTCCCAGAAGGCTGCTTGTAAGTGTGATGCTGAACAGCAGAGACTACAACTCTCAGAGGCTAAAGCAGTGGGTAAACAAGGAAAGGAAGAAGGGAGCTGCTGCACAAGAGGCTGGGAAATAAGCTGATTATAATTTCTACACAAAACTCCAAGATAAAAATACAACAGAGAGAGAAGGTCAAGTCTCAAGGCTATATTCAAATGACCAGTTTTCTGCAAAATAAGCCTGCTATACAATTATCAGGAAACATTCAGGTATCTGTTTCTTTCACCTTATCTCCTAAGTGGTAGTTTGTTTTAACTGACTGTCAACCAAGCTCCAACTGGATATAATCTGTATAGAGCACACATCTGGGAACCACCATCACTCTGAAGGACTGTCTACACATTCCTCAAATAAAATGTACTGAATTTAAAAGTGTAGAACTTACTTAATTCGAAAGTATGGAATCTGATAAAAGTAAAGGGGACTGACTTCAACAGGACATAAATGACGTAGGAGAGAAGGAGAACTACCACTCCTAGCAAAAGGGTATACAGAAGAGTTTTGAAATGGACCAAACAACAACAA